AATCTGCCAGAGCTGTGGAGAACAAACACACTCCGGACACCTCAAATCTGCCAGAGCTGTGCCCGAGCGGCCCGGCCGGAGCGCTGCGCCTGCGCCCTGCGGCCGGGCCCGCCTGCGCTGGGGCCGGGCGGGGAGAGCGGCCCGGGGCCCGTGGGGCCGCGGGGGCTGCGGGAATCAGCGGGAACAGCGGGCACGGGCCGCCCCTGGAGCCCCGGGATGCGGCTTCGCTGCCGCGGCCGCCCCCTCGCCCGTGGGTTCGGCAGGGCCGGGGCAACGGCGGCCTGAGGCCGCGGATGGGCGGAGCGGGAGGAGCCGGAGCCGCCGCGATGGCTCAGGAGAAGATGGAGCTGGACCTGGAGCTGCCGCCGGGGAGCGCCGCGGCCCCGGGCGACGGCGGCGGCCTGAGGCGGTCGAACAGCGCCCCGCTCATCCACGGGCTCAGGTGAGGGGCCCGGGGGGCTCCCGGCCCGGCCCGGCCGTGCGGGGGCTCCGGGGATGCTCCGCGGCGCCACGGGGAAAAGTGGGCTCCTGAGCGCTGTCCCAGGCTGGGAGGGATTTAGGGAACATATCCTGTTCCTTCCCTGTGTGGAGGGGTGCGAGGAAGCCCGGGAAGACGAGCTTCGGTTTTACTGAAACGCTTTGTTTTCACCGAGGTCTGCTGTGTGTTGCACAGAAACACCGTCCGCAACGTCAGAGTTGTGGCTGTTCTTATACATCGAATAACAATCGCGATGATTTCTGTAATGGATCACGTCTGAACAAAATAAATCACTGCTCTCTGTATGATTACATGCTTTCGGAGCAATCAGGCAAATTTGGTCAGGAAGGTCATTTCACGGGACCTTGACGTAAGTTTTACATTTAGGGTAAAACAGTGTGTCAGGTGTCCAGGAATTTTCCTGGGTGATACTAATTTCTGTAGTATGCATTACTGGGGGAAATACAATGTGTTGTGTAGACAGTTGTGCTTGGATGTTGCCACCAGCCTGTGGCAGGTCTGCTTGCAGGAGGGCTGGGTGTTCGCCAGGTCTGGCTCTCTTCAGCCGACAGGACAGAAAGTGGCAGTGGCAGGCAAGGGGCAGGTGAAAGCTTTCAGACAGGTAGGGTTTTGTTTGGATAAGTTTATAACCCAAAGGGCTGTTTCTTTTCTCTGGGCTCTTGAGGAGTTTGGGGATGCCCCATCTGCTACATGGTGTGGTTTCCATCCAACTGCGAGGTGGTCCATGTGCTGCTCTTGGTATTTTGGGAGCTCATACTGACAGTAATTTCATAAACTGTACTGTATTACTTGATAAGTACTTCC